TCTCTAACGCAATGGGGCAGCTATCAACAGCTGCAGCAGATTTGATAGATATACTACCATCGAATCCACTGAGAAACCATTAATTGTAGCAATTGCAAATTTTCTCTGTGTTTGTTTTGACCTGTCCCTTAATAAGCGTCCTACCTGCCCATTAAAAATCTGAGACGTGCATAATATTTCACACATAACAAAAAAAAAAAATACAATTATTCTTTACTAAATAGAGACTACATGTAAATAGGATCAGTCAAACTCAACAGCTGGGAGCTTCAACCTAAACTAATTAATTTCCTATTTTCCACGATGCTAGCCTATTAAAGATAAGGAGACGGTTGTGGTGGTGATGGTGGTGTATTCTCGGGCCACTTTAGTAGTTACAAAAATGTATATATAGGCCTATATAGTTGGGCCCTGATATCAGAGGGTAGTGTTGGTGGTGTGTGTAATTATATGTGTTGGGAGAGCTGGGTCATAACACTTCTATCCATCTATCCTACGGCAAATACAGGTCAGGAAAGGTGACGTACCGTACCTTGGGGGTGGAAGAAGGGAAGGGGAAGGGGGTTCTTCAGGAACAGGCTATATCGACACCTGTAGCGTCATTCCCTGTAGAATGTAACCAGACAGACAACGCAATAGTGGAGTACAATGAAAATTATTGTTGCTATTGATTGAAGGATATATTTCGAACCATTTGATCGAGTAACAATGAATTGAATGGTGTAAATAGCCGATTAAATTATTTTCAGATATGTATTTTTAAAAAACACGTAGTTGATATTCAGTTATTCTGCTGTCACTCTCTCAACATGGCTATGTTCAGGTGGATCTCGTTTGATCAAAACGTTTGCGTAAACTAACTCCCTCACATTTATGTACTCACGACTTCATTGTCTAGAAGAAGAGACCCTTTCCGCCGGGAAGAAAAAGAGAACCTAAACAAGAGTACAGAGTTTAAATATTCTTTGAAACTTAGAATGAATGTTTTACTTGACGAATCAGTTCTCGTTACTTACCGGAAAGAAAGAAAGACAGATACTGCGTCCTATACAAGGTTTCATTATCTTAGTGCTAAAAAACTCCTAATTGCTCTATTTCAACATCATTTCAGGTTTGTGTGTGTGTGTGTGTGTGTGTGGGGGGGGGGGG